TATTTCATAGATGAGGACATTGAGGTTTAGAGAGGTGACATACCCTGCCAGGTCACAATGCAACACTGAAATAATATCTAGGATTTGGAGGCAGATTTATTTATGTCAACAGGCACTGATCGGGATCATTTCCAAAATATCAGGCCCTGATCTCTGATGGTTTAGGGCTTATACTGGACAAGCAAGCAGGAAATACAGAGGCGGGATGGCTTGTCCACTGGGGATTGATTTACACAATATGCCTCACAGTGACCAGCCATTTCTAACCAGAACAGGAACAGGAACTATTACCTGGGCCATTTACAGATTGAAGCACGCTGGCTGGGACACGGACATTTTCTGTAAAACACAATTAGTAAGGGATGGGACCAGGATTCAAAATCCAGGTCCAACTGACTCTGTAGGCCTCCTTTTTCTCCTTTCTTTTCTTTTTTCGTCTATTATTCTTTTTTTATAAAAAAGAAAAAAAGTCACCAGCAGAAAAGAGTGCTAACTCCTTCTGCAGCCTTCAGAGATATTCTTTGCACATAGATTATTTTTTCTTACTCAGGATGGTGGCTATCCACACTCCCTCCATCCTCTTGGCCTTTCTCAGTGTATGTAAAAGATGGCTCTATACCAGTACACACGTTTGGCTCATCATTTTCTGTCTGCCAAGTACTCTACGAGGGCACATGCCTGTTTTTAATCAGTCTTCTGCAAGTGATTATTTCAGTGGGTGCCAGAGATTTCTTATTCCAAGCACAACTAAGATAAATGCTCACACCTGGCTGATCCACTACGGCACCCCTTCCCAAGTCACTCAGCCAGTTTCTCTCTCTGGGAGCTCATCTTTAGAAGGAGGAGGAAATCTCCAAGGTGTCTTCTCATCATAACTCCATCCCCTGTTTCTTTGGCTGGAGAAAGTCTCAACCAGCGGTCCTCAGTCCTTCCCAGGGAGGGCCTGCAGGATGCACAGAAGGCTGCTGAAGAAAGGGAAGCAGGTCTTTTCTCCCCCTCTGGGGACCACAGGACAGACTCCTCCCACCTGTGCGACCTGCCTAGAAGAAAGCACATACCGGATAGGAGCAGGTAAGCAGCTGCCTCAGTCTCTCTGGTTTGGCCCTTTCCTCCTGGGCTTGCACCTAATCACTTTTCAGTTTAGCTCCTGGCCAGCTTTCCTTTCTGCTGCTTCCTTGACTAAGGATGAATGCCTTGGCACAGTATAGTAGGTGGTACACAGGGCTCCAGGGTCCACAGCTGTCTGTGTTCGAAGGTGGGCCTCAGAAGGCTGGGATCTCTGCTTCTGAGAAGGAAGGCCTGGGACACAGGAAGCCTCAGGCTTGCAAGCGGAGACTATCTGGACAAGAAGCAAAAGAAGTACCCAGGAACTTCAGGGAAGATGGCACAGTGGTAAATAGCAGAGAAATACTTTCTGAGATTTGATCTCAGAATCCAGAAGCCGGCTCACAGCAACATGAAGAATGGATAAAGGAGGGAAGTGGGTCCCCAGGATCCAGCAAGGATCTGAAGTGAGAACTGAAGCCTGCGGAGAGAGCGAGCGGAGGGGGCGGAGCTCACCGAGCCCTGACTCAAAGCGTGGGAGGCAGGGTTTGAACATGTGGAAGCACAAAGATTACTGGTGACTCCAAGGCCTCCTCAGAGAAACACCAGAGAAATGGAGCAGTGCACCCAGAAATCTGCAGGGGCTGCTGCGTTCTTCAGGTTCAGACATCCCCCAGGAGAGGGTGCTTGGTCAGTAGCCATCTTAGACAGAGGCCCAACTAAACTTGGAACTCAGGGCAACTTCTGGCTGGCTCCATCTAGCAGCTGCCAGCGGAAGGGCCAGGCAGGACTGAGTTTAAATTAGCAGGAGGTCAAAAAGTCGAGTTCAAGCTGGCAAGGAGCTAGGTACAAGAGGGCAGGAGGCGCATGCCGTGCTGTGGACTGAGCAAATTAGCTTCCAACCTCACAGCCGGAAGCCAGCCTGAACTTGTGGGCTGGCCCACTGCCCCACAGCACATCTACAGATGGCTTGCTGCAATTCATCAACACAGAGCTGGGCTCTGACTGCCCACTCTGCCTACCAGTGACAGCAGCAGCAGGCCCTGAAGTGGACTTTTTCTTTTTTGGTTGTTTTCTTTTCTATCTTTCTTGTTTGTTCTTGTTTTTACAGGAGTGTGAACATTGTACATTTTTATTGTTTATTCTGTTCTTATCTTTATCCCTTCTCTCTTTCTCTCCTGTCTTCTTCACCAGCATCCATAAGTTTACATGATAAACTTTAAATCCCTACAGAATGTGAAGGAAAAAAATAAAAAAAAAATTTTTAAATATTTTTAAAAATAGAAATAAACAATTACCTATTTTTACACAGAAATTTAGAAATCTAACCATATAGTAATTGGTTTTGAAACTGTCTCATTGCTATTTGTTTCTTAATAAAATTAATAAAAATAAATATTATGAAGATTGTATCACACAGGCAATATATTCTGAAATAATAGAAATGTCCAGTAATAGACTTCACTGGGTTTTAAGAGTTAGAAAGAATTGATTTCCAATTTTAAGGCTAGCATTCTATGATTCTGTAATAAATGTTTTGTTCTGATGATTAAAAAAAAAAGTTTGCATGGTCTCCCTTTGTCTTCCTGCCTTGCTTTGAATCTCTTCTTACTCTATTGTTCCCCAACCTCTTAAATATTCTCCCTTGAGGGTACAACCACCAGACTGAGGGCATATTTACTGTATCATATTTTCTTGTTAGATTTAGATTTTGTTATATAACCACAATTCTAGTTCACATAGCTAAAGATGGCAAATGAATAGTTACCAGTGTATCATTTTCTAAGCTACATTTGATGCTATTTTTATTGTTGATTGAACTCTTTTCGCCAAGGTAACATAATTGTGCAAATCAGGCATTCTTCCTGGTATGCCAGGACTGAGATTGCCTAAGGGTCAATAAATAACACTAGAGGCCAATGCTAGGGAACCAGAGGCTGGACCAAACAGGTGGCAACTTCTCATCCCCAATAAGTTGAAGTAGGAACCTGCAACAGGCTCAAAACCCCACGCCAGCTATACCTGAGAAGTGCTCCTCATCTAAGTGTCCAAAATACTACCAATAGGGCCAAGGAGATAGCTCAATAGAATAAGCGCTTGCCTGGCAAGCACAAGGTTCTGAGTTTAATCCCCAGTACTACCAAAAAAAAGTTTTAAAAAGGGCCAGGGAGACGGCTCAGTAGAATAAGTGCTTCCTTGGCAAGCAAAGGGGCTGAGTACAGGGGGAACTACCCGCTCGGGCCCCCCTCCTGTCCCTGTCTTAGACAGGAGCTTTCTTTCTCTCAATAAATATATTCTGCTCATAAAAAAAGGGAGGCTGAGTTCAATCCTTGGTTCTGCAAATAAATAAATGAAAATACTACCAATAAAGCTACAAACCATAGGCCATTTACATGAATCAACCTAGAATTAAACTAAAAAAGAAAGAAAGGAAGAAAAAAAAGTGAGAAGACACTCTAGCATGATATAACCCCACATGTTCAGTTTAGTAAAAGCAAACTCAGGGGGTAATAAGGTGGGACAACTTGAAAGCCACCACCCTGAACACTCTAAATGGTAACAACAGAAGTAATAAGCCGATGAGTGAGGCTCTAGAAAAAAAAATCGCATCAGAGCTAATGTCTCAGATAGCCACAGACATGGGGACCGCAGTAAAGAACATAATGAAAACCGTGAACACCCAACATATGAAACAAATGGAACCTATGAAACAGACTCAAGCAGATATCCTGGAGATTAAAAAAAATTCCACCGAAAGTATACACAACAGAATGTTGTGAGGAGAGACTATCAGATCTAGGAGACAAGATTGCAAAGAGCAAATAGAAAAACAAAGAGAGCTTAAGATACTGAAGGGGACCATGGATTTAACTCAGCAATGAAGCACCTGCTTGGCAAGCAAAAGGCCTTCAGTTGGATTCCTAGTATAAAAATTAAAAAAAAAAATTAAAAGAGCAAGATACTACGAAAAAATCAACCTAGCACTGCTAAATAATGCAAAGAAGAATAATGTAAGATTTACTCAGTGTTGTGGCTTGGGGTTTTTGCAAGGCAAACAATATAATACAGGACATATTTTATAATATTAGTTTAGAGCCGGCCAGATAGTTCAGTGGACTAAAGTGCCTGCTCCAGAAGCATGCAGGGGCCAGGGCTTGATCCCTGCCGTGCCGTGCCAGCCCTGCCACCCCCCTCCCCGGGTACTCTGAGATGGCAATTGACACTGGGTGTGGTGGTGCATGCCTGTAATCCCAGCGCTTGGGAGGCTGAAAACAGGAGGCTCACTATGAGTCCAATCTATGTAGTAAGACCCTGTACACTCTGTAGACCCTGTACTAAATATATATATTTAGTTTATACAGAATCACCCAAGAATCATATAAAACAAGTGCAAGAAACCTATCCACACACTAAATACTAAAGAATCTATGTGAGGGCCTGGATCCTACTTCATGGATATGTGCTGGAAAGGCCTAAAGGTCAGGGGTGGAAGCTAGGAAGTCTATGCCAGCGGGATGAAGGAGCTGTGCCAGCAAGCTGAGGGATCTGAACTGGAGGTAGGAAGCAAAGCTCAAGGTAAGACCAGACTCTCCCAAAACTGCCACAGCCATCCTCAGCAACAGTGAGGTTCTGAGCTCCTCCAGAGATAGGAAAAGTTGAGTTCCCTCCAGGAAAGTCAATGTAACAAGCTTCTCCATCCCCTCCAGAGCCAGAAAGTGATGCTCAAGATGAGGACCCACGGGCCAGGAAGATAGCTCAGTGGAATAAGCACCTGCCTGGCAAGTGCAGGGTCCTGAGTTCAATCCCCAGTACCACACACACACACACACACACACACACAAACGGAGATAGCACAAACATAAAAAACACTTTCTCTACTTCACAGAAGTAATGAAACAATTTTCCACATGTAGAAAATGAATTTGACACAAGATAAATGAATCATATAGAACTCCAGCTTTGCGCGTGGCAGTATCGTAGCCAATGAGGTTTATCCGAGGCGCGATTATTTCTAATTGAAAACTTTTCATATAGAACTCCAATTAGCAATGATAAAAAAAGCTATACCAGGGCATATAATAGTTGAGATTCAACAAATTCAACATAAGAACAGAATATTAGAAGTTGTTTCAGAAATAAATCACCTCTAAAGGAAAGAACATCAGAATCATAGCAGACTCCTCGACACAAACCATTAAGCCAAGGAAAGCTTGGAGTGAAGTATTTCAAGCCGTAAAAGGAAATAATCTTCACTACAGAGTGATATAACCTGTGAAACTATCTTTAAAATTGATGGAGAAATAAGATACTTCCATGACAAACAATACTGGAGGAAACTGATGACAGCCAAACCAGCACTTCAAAGTGTTCTGAAAGACATTCTAGAGAAAGATAGCAAGGACTACAGCTCCATGAAAACTCAACAGGATGTATCCATCAGACAAGGCAAGCAATTAAACAGAGGTGGGGAAAAGGGGGAATCAGCAACAGGAAAATAACATAGCAAGAATAAGTCAATATATATTAATTATAAGCATCAATGCAAGTGGTTTCAATCCACTAATCAAAAGGAACCAACTGGCAGAATGGATCAAGAAGCAAGATCCAACAACACACAGCATACAACAAACACATTTGATTCAAAAAGAAATTCATAGGCCGGGGAGATGGCTCAGTGGAATAAGTGCTTCCCTGGCAAGCGCAAGGGCCTGAGTTCAATCCCTGGTTCCACCAAAAAAAAAAAAAGAAATTCATAGACTGACAGTGAAAAGATGGAAAACAACATCCCATTAGACAGGAACCCAGAAAATGCAAGGGTAGTTGCTGTATTTGCAGACAAATTTAAGCCAAGACTGATTAACAGAAACAAAGATCACTACATCCTTGTAAAGGGAACCATCCAAGAGGAAGAGATAACAATCATAAATACATATGCAGCAAACACCAGTACACCCAGCTATATGAAACAAATATTAACGTACATACAAAATCAAATAAGCACTAATATAATTGTAACGGGAGATCTCAATAGCCCACAGCTACCTGGAGGTAGCTTGGCAGCACAGGCACCTGTCTGGCAAGTGCAAGGTCCTGGGTTCAAGCCCCTGTGTGAAAAGAAAACAAAAACAAACAAAAAAACCAAACAGATCAACTTGATGAAAAAATAAAGAAATATCAGACTTCAACCAAACTTTACAACAAATAGACTCAGTAGATGTCTACAAAGTGCTCAACTCCACATCAAAATAGACATTCTTCTCAGCTGCACATGGAACAGTCTCCAAAATAGGCCATTTACTGGCTTCTAGAAAATGCATAAGTGAATCCAAAGAAATTGAAATTATTCCATGCATATTATTAGACTGCAAAGCTGTAGTGGACGGTGGCTCTTGAGGGGTTAATCTCATTCTAAGCCAAAGAAGCTCTAATTTAGTATCCAAATCACCTCAGAAATAGGAGAAACTGAGGCAGAATCAACTCAGTGTGACGCTGTCTGGAAGGTTTTAGTGATAGGAGGACACCTGGGCTAAGTCACCCCTGTGTAACCCTGCCTAAATTGCCCCCATCCTTCACTCCTTCCCCAGTCTTGTTAAAACATCACAAACATGTGAGAGATAAGGGAATAAGATGAGCTAATTAAAGGAAGTAAAGTCAAACCATGTGTTGCCATAAATTCCCATGCACGGGCTGTACCGCTCACCAAACCCTACACCGGAAGGCTCAGCATTCCATCGCAGTTGCTTTGGAAACCTGGGAAAGTATATAAGCCAAAGGAGAACAAAGAGCTGGGCCAAGCATATTCCCAATTTGTAAGAGGCAGGAGTGTGTGTCAGACACTGGCAAATAATTAATAAAGACTGTTATTCCTAAAATACAGTCTCCGATGGAAATAATCCCACTGCTTCAGAGCAATAAAAAATGGAAATCAATGGCAAAAGAAATCACAAGAACTTCATAAACACGTGGAAATTAAATGACACGCTTCTGAACAGCCAATGGATCACAGATTAAATGAAAGAAGAAATTAGACTTCTACAACTGAACAATAATGCCAATACAACGTTGTCAGGATTGGTGGATCTCAGTGTGATCTATTCTACCCAGAGAGAAACAGCAGCAGGAATGAGGAAGATGACAAGAAGACAAAAACTGGGATAGGTAGTGGCCCCTCTGCCTGGCTGGCAAGATGACCCCATGAGCAACAATATGGATGTTTGTTTATGCCTTTGCGAAGTTAGTAACATGTGACACAAGGTTGCCTAGTGACTAGCAGCTGACATTAACCAATCAGGATGCTTATCTCATTACTGAGGGCCTAGTCCTACTTACACACAGTTGATCAATTTTCCAGCTTCCAAGGCTCCCAACATATCCCCCTTTCCTGTTTTGTTGTGTCAGAGATGGGTGTTCCATTGTAGTTAGGGAAACTGTGTTTGGAGAACTTTGTAGAGGACCTTTTCATACTTGATGCCAGTCCAAATATTTTAGGTACTTGAATTCAGCAATGTGGCCCTATATAGTCCAATAGTCCACAATAGCAGTGAGTCATCAGTACAGCTGGTGCTTGTCAAAAGTTGTTAGTGACTTGAGCTATTTATTTATTTATTTGTTTATTTGTTTGCACCAGGCATCAAACTTGGGACCTTGTGCTTGCCGGGCAAGCACTTACTCCACTGAGCTATATCCCTAGCCCCAACTTGAGCCTTTTATAGCTTAGCATATGAATATGGCACTACTTTTCACGTCTTGTGGTTACACTTTTCTGCTGGATGGTTAAGACTATGCTAAAGGAAGACCCATATAAATACAAATTTAACTTTCTTTATCTGATAAGGTCAGTTAAATCTCAGGTTGTACCTTGGGAACATGTACAGCACCTCTAGATCTTCTGTCAGTCAGTCATCTGGATAAAACATGGCCATTGCTTGACCAATTTGCTCTCTGTGAAAGCCTGAGAGAGTTTTTTTTCTCTTCAGTTGACTCCTTAGGCACACTCTACATCATCAATCATTCTCCTCTGTGGCCCCATAATCTCCTGGATAAGAAAATTTGGGACACAACTGGGTTACAGGATGTCATAGCAGAGGTTATCTTATTATTATTATTTTTAACAGGGAAACAAACCTCTTTTTTGCCCCCATAATTTTATTGAGAAACAAATAGCAATGAGACAGTTTCAAACCAAACTGGTAGGACAGTTTCAATAATTAACACATTGCATACATTTTTCCTAGTGGTTAATTGCTGTACAAGATGCAGACTTGATATCCTATTTACAAACACCATTAAGAGGTTATCTTATGTCCTAAGTCCTCACTGACCTTGAAGGGCTAGAGCTAAAATATTGGCTATCCTTTTAGCCCATTTTTCTCTCTAATTGTTGGTCTCCAAACTTTAGTTGTTAAACATCCAGAAAAGAAGCTTAATGACATTACCCTGTAACAGAAGCAGTAGGTTTAACATTACTATCTATCTGAATATAAAACACCTTAGTCATTAAAAGGAAACTTTTATTTTCTAACAACCACATATATTCTATTATTTAAATCCATATAGAATGTTAAAAGACAACAAATACATATTTTTACACAGAAATTTAGAAATCAATACCATATACGACATTGTAGTAAGACAATCCTGATGACATTTTGTGACATACTTAAATTTTTGTTTTGACATAACGTAGCCCTTTTAACCAATCACCTCTACCTATGACATAAGAAATTTTCACCTAATTAGTCATCCTTAAATGGGATCACAAGTTTTTTGTTAAAGGCAGAGCTTTGAATTAAGAGAAAGTCTTATCACAATAAGCAAATTTTGTTTTACATTTTGGAAGACCTATACACTTGGAATCATGAATACACTCAATACATCATGAGATTAACAATAGTGAATTACCATACACATGTGAAAACCTTTGTTTCTTAATTTAATTTTATACCAAAACCATTTTTTAAGAGAAAACCTTACTGTATTTTTTTTGAAAAACTTTTTCTTTTAACCAATGAACAATTTATTGAGGTTGTCTCAATAAATTGACTGTTGAGATTATAGGAGCTCCTCATTAATGAACAAAAGTTTAGCCACACCTCTTATTCATCAGTTGGATTCCTCTCTCATAATTTCTCCCCACTCTAAGGAATTTTGGCTCAGTTAGCTTAAACTTTTTGATAAAATGTGTATAAACTGATTTTGATATCACTTAGACCAGCTGGTAACTTAGGAGAAAGAATGCTTTTTTTAAAAAATGTCTATTGTTGGCTGGGGAGATGGCTCAGTAGAATAAGCACTTCCCTGGCAAGTGCAAGGCCCTGTTCAATCCCCAGTTCTGCTAAAAATAAAAAATAAAATAAAGTCTATATCCCAAGTCATATTATGAACAAATGATCAAAAAAGAAAAAAGAGGAACAGCTTTTTGTAGAACTGCACAAAAACACATAAATATACACAGAACACAAAAACAAACATCTTTACATCTTTATACTTGAGCACATGCAAGTATATTCCTGGTCAAGTTAAATTCTAGTAACTGTGTTACAGCTTTTTGAAATTTATAATTATAAATAGACTAGTCAGAATTTGTTATTTGTCAATAAGCTGAGATCTCTTATCAGAAAATTTAGGAAAGAATAAAATCTCTTATAATTAATAAGCATATTTTGTATTTTTTGTCTTCATACTGGTAAAATTTAGCTTAGTTTTTTCAATATATATTTTATCACCTATTTAGACCTTAGATTTCCATTTCATCAGTTCCTCCAATAGGCCCCGGGTTGGGTCTGGCCTCACCTCTGTTAACTTCTCCAGATCTGGCTTCATGGTACATCCTGACAGTGCACTCTGGTACTCAAATAGGTCATTCAGCATTTCCTGGTAAAACAAAAGCATACCCTCTGCCCCAGGTTAGTAGTAGACTGGGTCTGTTCCATTGCATTGAGATTTGTCCAAAAGACCCCTCCCAGCCTTTTTTCTCTTCCTTGTTGGAATTCTTTCTGCAGTTGTACTTCCATCTTTTCTAGATTTTAAAATTTTAATAGTATATATGGACAAGTGAAGTTGGAGAGATTGATTCTCCCTTTTGTTTCCATAATTGAATTT